ACTTTGTATTATCTCAATGTTTTGGATCTTGTTGAGGATTGCCCTGTGGCCTAAGATGTGGTCTATTCTGGAGAACGTTCCATGTGCATTGGAAAAGAATATGTAATTTGCAGCTGTTGGATGGAGTGTTCCATATATGTCTAGAGGTCAAGTTGGCTGATTGTGCCCTTTAGGTCGTCTGTATCTTTGCTAGCAGCCTGAGCTCTTAACCACTGTGCCACCAGAGCTCCCATCTTATGGTAGCATTTTGCTAACAAGAAAGTTGTTTGGAAGTTTTCTATAGTCTGTTTCTTTTGAAATGGCCCACTATTAGTGTAACTTTGTCTATACTTAAGGGCAAGTTTGTGAAAACCAACACATAAAGCCCATCACCAGCCTTAAGATATCACTACTATGGAGAGGCGGGGCCAAGATAACAGAGTAGTCAGATGCTTCCGCTGGTCCCTCTCACAACAAAGACCTGAAAAAACAAGTGAATTGATTATATGTGACAATCTGAACATCAAGCCCTGAACATCAAAGGCAAAGTTAAGGAATCGGACTGAGTGGCAGGAGGAGGGAGAGACAGTTCAGAAGCAGTGAAGAGTTGCCAGACCTGACCCAGCGAGAGCCTGAGCCCTTCAGGCCAGATCAGCTCTTGGTGCATGGTGAGGCAGGCAAGCAGCAGCACTCGGGAGGTGTTTTCCATACCAGGAGAGACCCAGCAGCAGAGAGTCTTCTCGGCCATCCAGAACCAGTGAGAAGCAGCCTTCAATTGGCAAAAGAAAAGTACTTTAGTCTGGCCTACCGTGCAGATCAAAACACCCCCCTTAGGGAAAAACCTCTCTCCCATTTACCTCCCTGCTCCCTGCTCTGCACTGGGTCTGGGATGGCTTCGGCAGTTGCCGAGTCCTCTGGGCCAGAAGTAGGACCTGTCACGCACTCTGAGCCATTCTCCCAGCCTTGGAGAGTGAACAAATTAACAAACAGGGGAAAAAATAATCTGCCAGCTCCCATAAACCAGGAATTCAGGATAGGCACAGCTCCTTTGCCTAGGCACAGGTATAAGGGATCCATGGACTTTGAGTGCCTTTCCCCCTGCATAGACTTGTGTGGGCCCATTTCAACAGCGTAGGCCCTCATGACTGCGAGAGGGCTCAAGAATAAGAGATGCCCCACAGTCCTTACAGCCAACGCATTGGGTGCTCATAGTCCAGCTGCAAAACCCACCCACCTACATGCTCTAGGGAACAGGGACACACTTTATGCCTGGACACTTGTGGGTGGCCATAGGCCCCCTGCCTTGCTTAGCGTGTGTCCCCCTGTTGCAGCTGGCTGCCTGTGCCTACACTAATCACCCAGGCCTGTCTAGGACTATAGATGAGAACCTACACCACATATTTGGTGGCCGACTACCTGGACACCTACGCTGAATCCATACAGGAGAAGTGGGTGGACTCCTGGGCTCA